TTTGAATTGATTCGAAACGTTTACATTAAACTCTGAATATAAAGGCTTATTAGAGCGTTTAAAAAACGAAGAATGTGCGTAGAAAAAGACCTGAGAAATGGGCAAACGATTTCATTCTCCATTATGACAACGCTCCGTGTCATATCGCTTTTGATACGGCACTTTCTGTTAAATAAAAACATTACGATGTATCCTCATCCACCGGATTCATCGGGTTTAGTACCGTGCGACTTCTGGCCTTTCCCCAAAATCAAAATGACTATGAAAGGTAAACGTTTATAACATAATAAAACATTTATGAAAGAGAACTTTCAGTACTGCAGCTTTAGTGAATAGTAAAAACGATGGGATAAGAGTGTTAGAAGCGACAGGGAGTATTTGGAAGGGGACTAATTTTCATTTTTTAATGTAATAAGTTTTTTTTATTTCAACATTTACCGTATTTTTAAATTTCTTCTCATATTTATAATTAATGTATATTGTAATATATCGTATTTAAAAATAGGATAATTATATAATAAAATATACAATTAAGTTGTAAAAACAATTCTAATTCTTTAAAATTTGCTTTAAAAGAGAAACTTTAAGGTGATGCCAAAATACATTTGCAGTTGGAATGATAACTTCAAAAATACTGAACGAAATTAAAATCGCTTTTACAGGATTGAAATAAACATAAAATGTAATGGGGCGAGCTATTTTTTTGTAGTAAAAACGACAAAAAATTGAAAAAATTACCTTTTTTTGGATCGTACAACGATCATAATCTATCACCTGACGTAAACATTTCATTGGTATAAAAGTTCTGTAGCTCATATGTACAAAATAAGTAGTTTGCCCTCTTCGGATTACAGAAACAAATAATATAAGACCTTTTGAGCTACGATTGAAAGCGTAGCAAAAAGTTTATCGTTCCAACTGCAATTTATGGTAATTTGCACGTTTAGCTAAGGCAAAGACAGCAAAAATTGCGTCTAGCAGTAAGTGAATTTTGCAACGGATGGCACTTTAATAAGTTAGATAAGGACATTGCACGTGTTTGAGTAAAACAAAAGATATTGTATGAAATTCATTTAGAGATACCACTGACACCGAAGAGTCTGTTTTATCGACCTCGTGCAAATTTTTTCGACCTTCCGGCATCGTCTTAATGAGTCTTATTTATGCAATTTTTTTGTCTTTTTCGTATAGATTAATTTTATAAATATTCTTTATTCATAATAATTATACGTAACATACACTTTGTTATATCATTCAGATTCATGGCGTATTTGCAACACCTCGGACACAGGTTGCCTTTCTAAATGTAAAGGTAAACGTTATTACATTGTTTGAAAGTTTCTTTTGTCATAAGCAACTTGAAAACTTTAATATTTATATTATTTATAACTTATTATATAAATTAATAATTATTACATCATATTGATACTTGTCACTGATTTTTTGAATTCTCTTTTGTAATAGGTAACTGGAGAACAATTTTTCCGCACGAGGATAAAGAGGACATTTTTCGAAAAGAAAAAAAAGCTTTGCATTGTGTCAATTGTTATCCTGAATGCCAAGACACTGTCTATGATGTATCAACTTGGAAGAGTTACATGACTCCCGGCGGATTCAATACCAACTTATTGTAAGTATTATGACATCTTTGTTAATATAAAAAATAAAATTCTTTAAATATTATTCATAAAAAAGGCGTCGAGATACTGTTGTTGCGTAATTTCAGATGGGATTACAATGTTACTAATGAAGGTATACTGCATGTATACTTCTCCAAATACGGCACAGTTCAGTTGAAACAAGACGTGTCTGTTTATTGGTATGAATTCATGAGTAAGTATAGATTCCTATCTGAAAAAAGGCATGTTAAGTCGAACTCAAAATGTATCGTTGTTCTCGAAGTTATTGTTGACTCTTTTCCGCGACGCTGATTGGTTCTCTCGCTGCGTTAACTTCGTGAGCGGCTG